CTGCTGGAAGACAGTGAGCAGGGGGAGTCCTTTGTGTCCAGATCCTTTCTCTCAGCCCCCGACACAGAGAATACTCTGCAGGTTCCCCTGTGGGCCAAATCTGTCCCTTAAAAATTGCCCCAAAGGGACCTCTCCCTAGGGTGACTGAACTTGCACAGATTACATACCTTCAAAGGCAAGAATCTGTCTTCTTTCTGTTAAACCAACTGAACTCAAGCTGTGGGAGCCATCCTTGTGTTATGAAGTTATTTTCCAATTTTGACAAAGAAATACTTTTCTTACTAAGTGGTTCCCTCCACTTTCAACATTGAGATGACATTGATCATAAAGTATAGTTGGGGTTGGGAGTTATCTAAATTACCTTGGTGTTTTGGGAGTTTTCATGACAGTGAATATGTAAGGCAATCATGGAATCACATAATTTCATAAGGTGAACAGAAAAGAAATCCCATCCTTGATGAAGTCTTCCGATGCTGAACTTGTGCATGGAAAGGAGGCCGTGGGAGAAGGAAGCCAACGTGTCTCCAGTGGTTCCTGCATCCCAGGCAGTTTGCTGTGGTTGCTCCTTGCCCTGCAGACCACACCTGTGCTCTTTCTCCTTTGGTCTCTCCCTCCCTCTGGCCACCCCCACACCTCGATCCCCTCCCTGCTTTCTGAACAAACCTTTGTGCCTAATAGAGCCGAGGTAGGAGGGTGAGGACTGGGCAGCAGAAGGCAGTGTGGATTCGTCGGAGGCCAGTGGGGCCGGCTGCTGATTGGATTAGATGTTAGGGCAGTCGTGCCCTTTCCCAAAGCGTGCTTTGCATAGTGGTCGGAGAGGAAACCCAGTTTAGGTAGGTTGAAAATTGAATTGAAGATGAAGATAAAAGTATCGACGTTTGATTCTGAAAAGGAAGTGGCAGCAAGAAACTCAAAGAGCTTCTAAGGAGTTATTTTGCAAAAATGCAAGACTAAAGCATAAATATTGGCCAGTGGGGGTAGAGAGGCTGAAGGCACAGGAGAGTTTATTTTACGAGTCAGTGACTGGGCTGATACTGAGAAGAGGGCTGCTACCTTCAAGCATTTTTTTGTGTGTCAAGGTGTTACCTCCAGTATTTATTGTAACGTCCATACTGTAGAGGAGGAAAATCTTTTCCTCCACTCTCTTAGGTTTAGTGACAAGCCTACAAATTAAATTGACAAAAGATTAACAGGCAAAAAGGTTTCCTTTGCCTACAGACCTCACAGTAAAGTGAAAACCCAGAGGAGCCATTAGGCTTGCAATTTTCACACACCGTTTTCTTTATTAGATTTTCACATTGCTATTGTAACAAAAGATAATAAGTTATGGAGAGGTGATAAGAAAAAGGAAAAGGGGTCTGGGCTTCTGGGGGAGGCAAACTGTGGGGAGGTGAACACCTGGGGAAAACTGATGGAAGGTGAAGATTCTTCTGGTAAGGTTTGTTTGTGCGGGGGCCCCTCAGTTCCGTCTTTCTCCAGGGACAAGTGTTGTTCTCCACCTCCTGGTACGGGAGAGAGGCACCTCAGGGAAGTTCACATCCTGCTTTAGGCAGAAAGGGGGAGGTCAGAGGGTTCCTTCTGTGCGTGCTCTTTCTCAGCTGCCTTCAGCTCAACATAAACCTTTGTCAAAGTGGCATATTTTGAGGCAGCGTGTTCTGATCCCCTTCATTATGAACCAGATAAACAGCAGTGCCCCCGTTATGCAAACAAGGAAAGTCAGTTAAGCTTCTAAAGACTTACAGCTTCTAAGGGGTGGAGCTGGGATTTGATCCCACATGTACCCAACTACGAAGGTAATACACTGGAGATGTCTGTGTAGGAGAGTTTCTCAACAAACATTTATGAACTGCAAGAGTGAGGCATTGCTCTAGCACAGTTTTCCTCTTTGAGTTACTCAAACCCCCTCATACAAGCTTATTGGGAACAGTGTTCATTGACCTCACACCTAACATCCTAGTAGTTAATTGCAGGCATTATCTGACCAAGGGCATAATGGACTGAGTTCTGGTGTTTTGCAAGGTATAGTAATTCAGTCTAACTCTAGATAGTAGTAACAGCTGTCAACTTACTTATTTTCCCAGAGGAAACTGTAATACACTACGATGTCATGTACACTAAAATCATTCGGCTCCAATTCCAGTGTTTTATAGAGCACTTGTTGAATTTGGAGATGGGTGATGTGGCACTGGGAAAAGCCATGGGAAAATTATTCAATACCGGGTGCTTTTTACCATTTAATTGCTACCTCTTACCAGATCAAACCGAACTCTGGAAGGCATTTTCACAGTCACAAAATGCATTTTGCTATGCAGCAAATAACATGTAGCTCTGGGCTTTTCTCATGGAACACAGTAAAAAGAATCAGTTGAAATTTTATTGCCTGTTGATAAACGCTTTGTGCATTCTTTCAGCCAGTAATAATTGGATTTGTTTTTAAACTCAGTTTCTGTAAATTGTACTGACAGTAAACAATAAAATCAGATGATTATTCTAACAGAAAAAAAAGTACACCAAAACTGTGTGTACTGCCTTGTCCTGGCCTTTTAGCACATGGACTGAGCCATGCTCTGTTGATGGGGAGTTACGGGCCCCTTGGAACATAATGCAGTGCTGCCCAAAGAAAAGACAGTTGCCATCCTGGCTAACAGCATGGTATAAAATATTTTAAGATCAAATCCTCAGTTAAAATATGAGAAAGCTTTGTTGTCTTTCAGAGTTAAGTCAGTGTACCATGCCATACCAGTTACATTCTGGGACACATCGGGCACATGAAAGCTGCAACATAAAACATGTACCCAACTACGAAGGTAATACACTGGAGATGTCTGTGTAGGAGAGTTTCTCAACAAACATTTATGAACTGCAAGAGTGAGGCATTGCTCTAGCACAGTTTTCCTCTTTGAGTTACTCAAACCCCCTCATACAAGCTTATTGGGAGCAGTGTTCATTGACCTCACACCTAACATCCTAGTAGTTAATTGCAGGCATTATCTGACCAAGGGCATAATGGACTGAGTTCTGGTGTTTTGCAAGGTATAGTAATTCAGTCTAACTCTAGATAGTAGTAACAGCTGTCAACTTACTTATTTTCCCAGAGGAAACTGTAATACACTACGATGTCATGTACACTAAAATCATTCGGCTCCAATTCCAGTGTTTTATAGAGCACTTGTTGAATTTGGAGATGGGTGATGTGGCACTGGGAAAAGCCATGGGAAAATTATTCAATACCGGGTGCTTTTTACCATTTAATTGCTACCTCTTACCAGATCAAACCGAACTCTGGAAGGCATTTTCACAGTCACAAAATGCATTTTGCTATGCAGCAAATAACATGTAGCTCTGGGCTTTTCTCATGGAACACAGTAAAAAGAATCAGTTGAAATTTTATTGCCTGTTGATAAACGCTTTGTGCATTCTTTCAGCCAGTAATAATTGGATTTGTTTTTAAACTCAGTTTCTGTAAATTGTACTGACAGTAAACAATAAAATCAGATGATTATTCTAACAGAAAAAAAAGTACACCAAAACTGTGTGTACTGCCTTGTCCTGGCCTTTTAGCACATGGACTGAGCCATGCTCTGTTGATGGGGAGTTACGGGCCCCTTGGAACATAATGCAGTGCTGCCCAAAGAAAAGACAGTTGCCATCCTGGCTAACAGCATGGTATAAAATATTTTAAGATCAAATCCTCAGTTAAAATATGAGAAAGCTTTGTTGTCTTTCAGAGTTAAGTCAGTGTACCATGCCATACCAGTTACATTCTGGGACACATCGGGCACATGAAAGCTGCAACATAACAATCCCTTGGGCATAGTTTCATCTCCTTCCTTCCCAGTGATACTGTCCTGGCCTCTAGGAGATAGTAAGTGCTTCGGCATTGCAGTAAGCCAGTCCTCACCCTCGCAGCAGTGCTTTGTTCTCAAACATGAAATATGCCCTCAGTGCCTCTCCTGTTCCCCTTCTGGACAGGGATAGACTTCAGGAGTAGCGGCACTGTGTTCTGTTCCTATCATGTGTTCCCTGGACCTGGCACATGACAGGTCCACCAGTGGGCATTTCATGGTGAGAACAACGTGGATCTTGGTGTCCCTTTTGTGCTGCATAATACTCCACATTCTTTAAGCTCTCTACCCAGAAAACAGCAGCACATGCACATGCCAGAGCTTCTCCATGTTCATTGTTAATGCTGATTTTCTCACGGAAAGGAAGTGCCCCAAAGGATCTAAATTCCTTGTTCTTTTCATTTGAGAAGTGCATGGAGAGGAACAGGAATGTGTTGTGTCCCCAGAGCTTGCAGACGGAGGCTCAGAGAAGGGAGATGCCTGGCCCTTCTGGGAGTGTCAGTAGGCAGTGACAACGTGTTTACTTTTTGGGACTTGGACCTGGGAGTAAAGGGGGAGTTTGAGGAAATGTGACACCAGATGGTGTTAGATGCTCCAGGCTACCTTTTTGAAACACTCGCATCACTGAGAGAATTGTCCTAGTATGAAATGCCCATCAATGGAGTCAGTGTCAGATGGAGTCTCAAATAATTTGTTACTCCCTTTATAGGTATCTAAAGTCTATTCAGTAGTGTTGGCACAAATCTGTCACCTCTGTCTTGCGGATTCCTTTTGAAGTTTATTTTTAATAATAAAAATGCTCAGTAGCTGGTCCTACTGAGCAGTAATTGTGCTGAAGCGTAATCGTGGACTCTCGGAGGAAATGGTTCAGTTTCTCTGCAACCAGAAATGTTAGTGAGAGTCGGCCATCCACTCGCCAGCAGCGCTCACCTTCCCAGCCAGAGGCCTTGGATCTTACCACCCTCTCTGTCCCACTGCTGGCAAGCCCTGTCAGTGTTAGCCTGCAGGGTCTTCAGTCTGACATCGTTATGCCACTTCTCTTAGTGGACATGTACAGAAATTCTGCTGAAGTGTCAGTGGGCGGTTTCCAGAGCATTCTTGGTTTAGAAGATATGGATGCGATTGAAGTTCACTGTGGCTCTTTTTTCCCAACAGGTTCTTAGCATGATCATCAATGCAGCTTACAAGCCCGGAAGGGTTTTGAGAGAATTACAGCTGGTGGAAGACCCCCACTGGAATTTTCAGGAGGAGACACTAAAGGCAAAGTAAGTGTTCTCAGATCTGGGAACAAGGTTCTTGTAATCTCCAGCCTGCTCCTTGGAAGCTTGTCCTACCTCATTTTTGTCATAGCCCGGAGAAATGAAAATGAACAGGTGGTCCTTCTGCAGTCCTGTGTGTGACCTACACCATTCTTTGCGCTTTGCATGCTTGCCTTATGCCTTAGGATGCTGAAGTGGAGACTTAAGTAACACTTTATTGTTCTAGACATTCAGAGTGAAACATGCTGTGCTTCTGGGCCAAAGAGATGGTTTGTTCCAAAGGGGAGAAATTGGTAGAAGAGGATATCTGTTATCATTATCATGTGTTATTCATTAACAGCTCTTCATACTTGATGTTGTAGTTTACACCAGATACAAATGTTCTTTTCTCTGAGAGTTGACAGTTTTAGAAGACAGAAAGAACCAGGGCCTCTGTCTAGTGTTGGTGAATGTGTCATGGATTGATGTGTATTGGTTGCTTCTTGGATGTGGAAATAATGGGAAAGGTGACGTTTTTGCTTTGCCTAAGTTTCTTGAACTGTGTCGCTGAGAGCACCTACTGCATCGATTTGCTTGAACTTGCTTGTTGGGGAGGCAGGTAGAAGAAGACCATTTCTCAAGTTAAATTTATGCTCAATCATTGCTTTGATTTTTTGCTCTTAATACCTATGCTTTTCAAATAGAGTAGATCTTACTGGTTATCTTCTTGGATCACAGTGTCCCAAAAAACAGTATCAGGAACATTTGGGAAATGATGTTTTTTTTAAGAGTGCACCACTTTTCAATGACTAGTGTACACCTAAGCCCTCTCTTAAAGATAGTACCTACCCTTTTCATAGGGAAAATTGAGGAATGTTAAATAATTAGTATGACTGTAGTATTTTCTTCTGTAGTTAACTTACACTGGCACCAAACCAAGTGATGGTGCTGAGATACAGAAGCCTTCTCATTCACTGTCATCATCCACTCAGCATTTCCTGTCTTTTTTTAGTATCTCTGTAATCTTAGAACCAGTGAAAGTCACTGGTGATCTGATGATACTCTGCTAGATCACATGTGTTAAAGGGAATATATGTAAATAAGGAGAATGTTTGTTTTTAATAAAGTGGTATGTCAGTACAAGGTGGCACCATATCTCATCCTTTCCAAGAAATATTTAAATGAGCTTCACCCATAGCCCAGGAAAAAATAAAACAAGTTTTTTCCAGTCTAATATTCCTTATTTTTCTCCTGTGTCTAAGGGAGAGGTCATCGGCAATAGAGCATTTTCTTAGGAGGCCAAAGCTAAGTAGTAGTGGTGGCAGAAAACCCAAGCAAGTATGGGTACAGAGGAACCTGTCTTACTTTAAACATTTCCTGTAACATTCAGTACCTCCAAAATACAGCTAATGGATACAGAAATAGGAAAAGTACAAAACTCTTCAATTGCATTAAAAATCTCACTGGTTCGTAGGTAAGCTGGAAACTTGCCCCAGATGCCCAAGTGGCAGAGGGTTCATTTTGCAGTGTTGGTCCTAATTTTCATGTTACCGAGCTGATAACTTTTATTAAATCCAGCCTCATACAATCAAAACAGATATAGTGAGATCCGCCCCGCCGTACCATAAAGGCAATGCATTAACTCTTACATCAGATACCACAATGAGTTCCTCTGCAGACTCATCCACTGCAGCTTCTAATGAGAAAATGTCTGTCTGAACCAGCTTTCAGGAGAGCTGGACCACAGCAACATCTCAAAAGCAGCTGCTACTGTTGACAGACTGACAGTCAGCCGGAGCATTTGTTACAATACTATGTGTTCAGTCGCCTCTTTCCTTCTGATGTAAAATGACAACTTTTTAGATCTTGACAACTTTGCTTATTTTCTTTGGTGCAAAGGGAGGAGAGAGAGCTCCTTTGCTGCAAGGCTGAAGTGTTTTCTTTCATGAATAAATTAACTTAGTGGAAGGGGGACCTGCATTTAAGGAATTCTTTTGTTTGTGGTCATTGAATTATATTAAAGAGTGCTTTCAGGGAGAGGGCATGAGTTTGTCCCCCCATGGGCCATGCGAGTGCTGTCCCTTAGTGTCTGAGGCTTCTGGTTGCTTTTGTCCCCTCTTCTGAAAAGTAAAGACTCACTTACTTGAGCAGATAGAGGTGCCATTGGAAAGGTTTTGACCTGTCAATAGAAAAACTAGCACTGTCACTGCATTGTCCTTCTGTGATTTTTTTCCTGGTTTTTTTTCCAACAGCCATACCTTTTATACTAAGGCAAATCATTGCAATACTTAAACGCCACGTAAGGGTTCCGTGATGTTAGGAGTCTTCACCATTCAGGCAGAAGCTGTGTCTCCCATAGCTGTAGTACCAGAAGCAGAATGGAATCCATTCCTGTTCGTCTCAGCAGCTCTGAGGGAGAATTCTTTCTTTCTGATGAATTTAAGTATACAGAGTTGACCTACATTGTTTTGAATTTCAGGAGGAGGAATTCAGGCTATACCTGAGGAGGATGAAAAAAAATTCCAAATCTGTGTGCATCAGGAGACATTTAAATACGTTTTCCAACAAAGAAATTTTCCAACTTCTTTGAATGGCTTTTGTGATATTCTTTCTGAAAGTCAGGTGGAGATTTCCCCAGACTTCTGTTACAGCTATTCAGCTATTTAAAGAGGAAATATCCTGATAAGATTTCGAGGCAGTTAGACTTCACTGTTACTTAGGCAGGCACAAAGGAGATAAAGTCAGATCTTTACGTTTAGCCAAGTCGTACTCAGTTCTATGGAAATGGTATTTTGGCTTCTTCTTTTTTATAAGCAATGACTAATTTTGTATGTTTTTCTTATGCCATTATTGGCCTTCCCTTATGCCCATATTTTGTGAACAGAAGTAATATTTCTCTATAAAGTGATTAATGGGAAAAAGAATTCCCAAATTGAGAGACTTTTCATTGAAAAAGAAATGTTGTTTGTTGCTCTGTTAATTTTTACCTTGCTCAGATTTGGGCAGTTTGCTGTCCTATAAATGTAACTGTAAACATTGCATGGAGCAGGCAGACATATGTTCCAGTTTGTCACAGGAAAATAGAATTTCTGTGTGTTCCCTTAAGTCATCAGATTATGGATGTGGTGTTTCTGCTTCAAATGCAGACCAGTTGAGGATGCTCTGAATTAGATGTGGTCCTTCCTAAATCAAACATATACCCCATTTACCACACAGAACCCCATTACTTGAAATGAAATGCAAGAGTCCTAAAAGAAGAGGGACATCTCTGAGGAGATGAGTATCTTAAGGCTGAAAACTAATAAATCAATGTACTGACCCAGTTCTAATGATGAAGATATAACCAATGAAGTAAAAGCTTTGTTTTGAGGAAATTGGGACCATTTCTTATTGTGGCCACTGAAAAGAGGGGCATTGTTAAAACATGTGAAGTTTCTCTGTATCTGCAGAGTTATAAAGTCTCCACCTGCTTTTCCCTTTAAGCTCTTCAGGATCCAAGGCCATGAACCCTACATGACCAACAAGAGCCTTGGTATCCACCATCATACCCCCTCACAACCTAACAAGGTTTTGTTAAAAGGTCCTGCCATGGGTCGTTTTGACAATGAACAATAGAATTTAGGCCAAACTGAAGTCTCCCTACTTGGACCAGGCTGGTAGTCACGAATGGATCCTTACACCAGAGTTGTTCTTTGACTCTCTATTTCTTTTTGACTCAAAACCCATTTTGGTTTTTCTCAGCTCTTCACTACTGAGAGAAAAGAGACCATTTTTTTCCAGAACTCATTTCTCCATCTTCATCTGTCTTTCACCAGCCTGTTACATACACTCACATGTGGAAATAATTCCCAGCTTTGGTTGGTAGGAAGACAGTGAAAGGCTTCTCCCACTCCCTTATTGGGTGTGTGTGTGTGTGTGGAGGAGGGGAAGGAACAACCTCTTCTCTACCCTCTTAAGTCAGTAATTGGGAGCCTGCAAATTAAACTGACAAAAGACAGAAAAGACAGTTGCCTTCCCGATGCAGTACGCACACACGCAGGAGTGCCTCATGGTGAGTGATGGGCAACTCGAAGGGGCACGTGGCATTTGGTAGTTACACCTAAGTGACACCTGACTCAGTAGGGAAAAGGGAGTGTGGAGAAAAGGCCTCCAGGGGAAGAACAAATAGGTTTCTTCAGGGAAGACAAATGGGTGTTTAAGAGAACAAATGGGAGATAAGAAAGTTTGTGATAATGTTTCTGTGGGAGCGAGTGGTCTTCCTGTCTCTTCACGGCCATGAGCTCCTCCAAGAGGGGATTTATGGTTGGTTCACCCTCAGTCTCCTAAGATGAGAGGCTGCCCCATGAGGGAATTTATGGCAGTCCTCATTTCTCACAAGTTCTGCTTTCAGTCAGATAAGAGGAGCTCTGAGAAAGCTGCTCTCTACGTCTGCTGAATCTCAGATGTCTTCATCTTAAAGTAATCCTTCTGTCAGCTCTGGGGTTCTGAGTGGGACCCCTCCCGTGTCCCCCTGTCATTCTCTGCCTCCCATACTGTTTCAGAGTGTCCTCTCAGCAGCTCCTCATGGGCACCACTTGTGAGGATGAGAAGATGTTCTCACTCCGATTTGAGGGCTCCCCCCGCCCCCTGTCTTCCCTGTCACCTTTGCTGTTCATCAGCTCTGGTTGGGGGCCTTCCACGTGTTCCTTCCTTCCTTCTGAGATGATTTATAATACCAGGAACTTTCTGCAGTGTAGTGGCTTGTTTGTCTCTTTCGATATTTTCTTCTTTTTCTACACAGAACTCGTAATACATGCTTTAAAGATCTTACCTTAGTGTTTACAACAGCCTTCCTGGCCATTTAATAAATGTAGCTCAGCATTTTCCTCTCTGGATTCACACTGACAGAAATGCAGTGAGAGGCATTGCCCTGTGCTCTGAGCTCTCCTCATACAGCCTGCCTACAGAAGCATGGCACTGGTGAATGGTTTTTAAGCCTCTCATGGCGGGGAGCGCTACAACACATTCTTGTTTTCACTTGCGGTAAA